TTTATAAAAACTTTTTAATCGCTAGGAAAAAACTCTGTTGGTATAAAAGTGGGCGCCTATAGGTGCTCTCAGTAATACAAACACAAAATTTCTAAGCACCTATAGGCGCCCACAGTAGCCAAGGGGTTAATAAACAGCATATGTTTATATTGAGAATACATACGCCATGAAAAATTATTATCTGTAGTTTATTTACAAAATAATTCTCAATGAACTAAAGATAATTTTCATAGTTGTTCATCTTTAGCAAGGGATATCTTTAAAAGTTCAAAGAGTTGCATGCTCTATCATAGTGTAAAATTTTCAGCAGGATTTCCTTATTTTAATCGAAAAGAAATCATGTCCCCCCTCGTCCCACCGCAGATGTTATTATTGTTTGAAGCGTCGCGTGGCACACGCTTCAGCACCACGTAGGTATATACGAGGTCTGTCCCAAAAGTATCCGACCTTCCTTCATATTTCCCTGCTGGTGTTATTTTATTCTACGTCATCGGGCTGGTGGCATCCTTCGAAGTAGTCTTCATTTGATTGTATAATACGCTGCCAACGACATTTTCACTGATAAAAACAGTCCTGGAAGTCGTTTTTCGAAATAGCCTTTAGAGCGTTCGTCGTATTAGTTTCGACCGTTTCTTTATCGTCAAGTCGGTGTCCTTTGAGTGGCATTTTCAATCTTGAAAACAACCAAAAATCGCAGGGAACTACATCAGGACTGTACGGATGCTGACGGAGCTGTATCACATTGTGCTTTGTCAAATATTGCTGCACAAGATTCGATGCATGCGCTGGCGCGTCACCGTGATGAAGAAGTCAATCACCGCTTGACCAAAACTGAGGCCAAAACTAGTTTTTGGTATTCCAAGATCACATTCTAGTTCTCGCACAGTCAATCGACGATCTTCGTTGGTCGCAAGTCGCACATGTGTATTTAGTCGAATGGACATTACTATATTTTATTATATATTCTGTAAGTATATTAATTAATTAATTCGATTTTATTTCAAGAATATGCAATGCCAACATTTAACTTATATGTAGCAGAGTACGACTGGTTTTATATGCTATTAAGTTTGCACAAAATATTATTGCATGGTGCAGATATATACAAAGTGCTGGTTTGTCCATTGGAACGTTTTCTGAAGAAGCAATGGAGGCATTAAACAAAGATTTCTGAAATATTAGAAGAGTCTACACACGAAAATTTTTGCAATTAGAAACATTGACGAACCTTTTTCAGACTTTATTATACAGGGTGTCCGCGCCAAAGTGTGACAGCATGATATCTCATGGACTATTGATATCACGAAAAGTGCTTATATAAAAATTGCAGAGCAAAAGAGGCCCTATGTTTTGGCGGAAGCAAAATGTTTTTATTGTTATTAATGTAAAAGATATGATGGTGAAGTTTCGTTTTTTAAATGGAACTATATATTTTTTTTCGATCAGGCGATAGTGCTTTTCAAGACGAATTCATCAAGGTTTTATGTACTTACCCGATTTTTATTAGTTTTGGAGATATAACGGTTAGAAATTTAGTGATTTTCAGCAGTGACATCTCGATTTGAGAAGTAAGTCATAAAATCGGTTTTATTGTTGCAGTAGGTGCCGTGGGTTTTACTCTGCCTGCCGAAACTGATAGCCAAGGGTCTACCGTCCCAATGCTAAGTAAGTCCGAAGAGCACGAAACGGAAAGAATTTTCCATCATCCTTGATGCGGAAAACTTAGAGCGTAACGGACAATTCTTTCCGTTTCGTGCTCTTCGGACTTACTTAGCATTGGGACGGTAGACCCTTGGCTATCAGTTTCGGCAGGCAGAGTAAAACCCGCGGCACTTACTGCAACAATAAGACCGATTTTATGACTTACTACTCAAACCAACACGTCACTGCTGAAAATCAGTAAATTTCTAAGCGTTATATCTCGAAACCTAATAAAAATCGGGTAAGTACATAAAACTTTGACGAATTCGTCTTGAAAAGCACTATCGCCTGATCGAGAAAAAAATTATAGTTCCATTTAAAAAAACGAAACTTCACCATCATATCTTTTACATTAATAACAATAAAAACATTTTGCTTCCGCCAAAACATAGGGCCTCTTTTACCCTGCAACTTATAAGCACTTTTTCGTGATATCAATAGTTCATGAGATATCATGCTATCACACTTTGGCGCGGACACCCTGTATACGCCCGATATTTTAGTATCTTCAATTTCGGCAGAAAACAGAAAAATTTATAAAACACGTTCGCGTTTTAATATTTTCAAGGATGAAATAGAAAAATTAATGTTACAAGATGACCCAAAAGAGGATGACGATGATACATAAATAATAATAAATAAATGTTAGATTAATAAATTAATATATTGTAAAAACCTAGTAAAAAATGTATCTATTTCTATTCATAAAAATTGTTTCCATGTTAAACTTATGTTTACGTTAATAAAAATTATGCTTATAAACCGAACGTCCACATTGAGAATATGGTATATTTACTAACTTTCTGAAACATAACACTTATTTTTATTTTATTTCTAATTTTTTCGGTAAGAAAATAATCCGGTGTGATTAAATGTAATAATAATATTTGTTTTAAATGCTGGAACGACGCAGCGGCCGCTATACTTTATTTTCAAGTCTTGAAATAACGCTAAAATGGGCCGTGAACAGCTAATTCATCGCTCTGGCCCACTGTGCGATCTGAGGAGGAATACGCGCTCTTCGTTGCAAAGTGAGAATTTGGTCACTATTTTTGCGCCTATCTGTGGAGGAATAGACGCTCCTCGTTGCAAGTGAATTCGGTCACGGTTCTCGAGTCAACCTGTTACAGTAACCGATTTTTTAATGAATGATAAATATATCTTGTTTAATATATATCGGTCTAAATCGTGCTAAATTATATCGTGTTCGATTTCATTTTAATCGGAAAACCCTCACGAATATGTTAAAAAAGTTTGCAGTAAATAAAGACTAAAAAATAAAAAATTATACTGCTATATTAGGAACTAAAAATTTGTTAAATCGTATCAAAGGAACCGCGATGAGTTTCGTGTTATTTCGCAGAAAGAGACGTTTTGAAAGAGACGCACTGCGGGAGGGAAACAAGTGTTGCACTGTAGGAGCATTTACTGTAATACAACACTCGAGTGTTTTAATATTAGGTCGCGTTTTTAATGAGTTGTAAAATAATAGTTAATATATTTTTTGTAACCTAACACATGTATGTAATAAATGTTAACTTATCCTTTTATTACTAAAAATGACTACGCTTAATAGCCTTCTAATGGAAAGTATTTACATTTCGAAATAACAGGCATGTAATGGAAATTCTTAGATAACCGTTTAAAAATACCTACAAATCATATCGCATTATCAGTAAACTTTTACGAGCAAATTTTCTTTTATTTTATTGTTCAATGTATAAGCGAAACGATTAATCGTTCGTACAGTTCTTTTTTTTTTAATCGCTCTATAAAATTACAAAACAAATTATTATTTTTTTGCAGACGTTCGGCGATAAATTACTTGGGATCATGTCTTGGATAATGCCATTTTTCGTCGCCTGCTCAACGTTTGGAGCGTTGAATGGTGCAATATTCGCATCGTCACGATTGTTTTTCGTTGGAGCCCGTAACGGTCATTTACCCGCCGCTATTGCTCTCATCAATGTCCGAAATTTGACACCGATGCCATCTCTCATCTTCCTTGTAAGCCTGCTTTGTTGATCAACAGTTTGTATACTATTAAATGAAAACGTGAAACGTAGCAAAGAACGACAATGAACATAATTTGAATTATGTTGTATAATACATTGACTTCCTAAACATGGATTACGTTAAAAATAATTTTTTAAAAGAACTTAATACAGCGTCAGCCAAACAAACAGGAAATAATTACTATTATCGGATAAATTAAATGGATATTATGTTTATTATGATATAACGGAGCAGAGATTATACGGGACTATAATTTTAAACCCATCTTGTTTAATCCATTTCACAATTTTTTCCATTTCCACAGTTTCAGTTAGGGCTCTGTATACGAAAGTCCACTGTAATGGTATGATGATATGCAGAAAGTGATAACATATTTTCTACTCACTCTATATTACTCAGAAATAGATATTTAACAACTCATTATTATGTTAATTTATAAATAATTACATAAATACACTAATTGTATAAACATAGATAAGTATTACTATTAATCAGAGTATCTTAGTTTTTTACTGCTAAACCCTTTGTTAAAAATAAACCCTTTGTTTTAAACCCTTTGTTAAAAAATAATAGTGATAATATAAAATGTCTTCAGTCTGATTTATTTGTATGTAAAATTTTGATCGCTATATTCTACAGGTAAAAATGATTTAAAAAAGTGTTACATAAACATAGGTTCTTAAATGTTTTATTGAAAGACAATGTGGAATGTATGAAACGCTAATGGAACATTTTTTCTTTCAATGCGGCATACGAATAATTGCCGACTTTCATATTTTTTGCTAAGAATGCGTTCTAAAACTTGTTCATACAAACATTTATTCTTATGTTTCTTTATAGATATATTAGTAAAGTTATGCGGAAAAAATTGAAGCATACTATATGTAATATCGAACAATAAAGCATTCCGCTATCATTTCTTACTCTTGTTACAACTTTTTAACAGATTGTTTAAAACTCTATGTTGATGTAATATTCTTTTTTTTATTAGAATGTGCTAATACCATTTGACGATGAAATACTGGTACACTCTGTATATTTGTGTGCCTAAAATATCTTTTTAAAGACCTAAAGAGAACACAGTACTTAATAAATTTATGTAATAATAACATGTTAACGTTTATAAAACATAAACCTAATTCAAGAATATCACAGTGTATTGATATACTGACAATAAGAGACAATCAGATAACAGATAACAGCGTTAATACTGATCGACATATGTGGATTAAATCAACAACGATAATGCACGTGTCTGCATATGTATTAAATATGGTGAGTTAATTCGTTCGAAGTGTATGAATGTTATACAAAATAATAATTTTCTCGGTAAGACTTTACTTTAATGTCCTAAAACTTTGAGTACATATCATATGCCATTTCATTCGTTTTGACATGCTAAATATGAACACAATCGTCCTTTTTAGCACCTATTATTAGTTTTTGAGTTCCTTATAAAAAACTTTCATAGTGATACATAGAAAATTTATTCATATTTCTTGAACTATAACACAGTCAGCAAAACTACTTGCAAATAGTTGTTTTGATTGATTATTGTTGTGGGCATCGACTACAATGGTCATTAGCCCGTAGTTTTCCTATCACAATACATATTGTGACTTTCACATTTCTTTTTATATCTTTAGCGTATGTACATATATTGCGATGGTCAAATTTAAATGTTAAAATATTGATAAATATGACAAATTGGATGAAATATTTAAATATTTTTCTTAGCAATCATTTAATATACTTCTTTTTTCAGATGGCATTATTTTTTAAATCATATGGTAAATTATATTTCTATTTTTTTTATAGTAACTCATAGATATTACAATTTTTCTACACTGTGGAAATTATTTCAAAAAATTCAAAATAGCGTTGCCATGTTGTAATTAAAAATATATATTCAAAAAATGTATTTCCTCTATAATGTATGTTTTATCTTGTAATTTTAAATACAATTATCTGCTTGTAATTTCATTTATATTTAGACATCAGCATTATTTGTAAGCAATTAAATTTCAAGGAATTTTTATAATTAAGTATATTTCTGATACGACCACTTCAAAAATTTGTTAAAATTGAATAATAATTTCTGAATTAAATAAAACGATAAATAATTATTGAAGTAATTACCTACAGTAGATGAAATTAAATTATTAAAACTATTTACAGTGAGTATCAATGAAAATCGTTACTTAAATATACTTAGATATTTGTAATGTAATAACAATTTACATTTATTTGGAAATGTTCATAAAACTGTTCAGTAAAAAAATGATATAATAATCATTATTGTAATAGTACAAAATCTCTTTAAAGTAACAAAATCGCAATTGTTGTTCAAATTCAACTTTCTCAAAAACTGTGAGCAATAAAAGAGCAGTTTTTAACCTATTTCGCTCACAAAGTTTATTTATTTATTACATATCTAAGGAAGATTTTAATACCGGGAGAAGTAGATGTTCCATCTCACAATTAGGATAGGGTATATCCATTCATTTGAAAGATGCAAATAAACCATTTTTATAAGGAATTCTGTATATTTTTTTATTTGTATGAACTAATTAAAACGTTTTGCGTAAAAAATATTAATATGTAATGTTCAAAAATTAAAAATTAAAGTGCTTACTACGCGCAGGTGGACATTCGAAATATCTTTAATAATCTAATTTCATGACATATAAAAAATTCAAGATACCTCTCGAAATATTGGTATTTAAAATATTACACACTAACATTATTTTACTCGTAATTTGGAACTTTGAAGCTTGAACTTGTAAATTTGTAAACTCAGAGATTCAGATTTCAAGAAACTTGCACATTTAGGAATTCAGAAAATTTCAAAATTAAAAGCTCAAAAATTTGACATTATTATTCGTATAAAACTTGAACTTTTCGTAGTCTATTGTTGGAACAAAAGGGAAGTATTTTAATCACGAATATAGTCATCGTTCGATATTAAATGTCCGATCGAGTTCATTATCAGTACTTCTCACACTTGAAATTTGTCATATTCAAACGAAATATTATTCATATGTTAATCAAATTGATTAACATACTCTATATTTTTGTAACTACTACAGCAATAAGAAACAGCAATTCCACTAGAAATTCAAGAAATCCATTGAAGCATAGAATGTACACATATTTATTAATTTATGTTTAAGAAAAAATTATAAATTCATGATTATATCTGTGATCCATCTTATTAAATTGCATGTCTATTTGGAAAGTTACTTGTCATAAATCCTTGTTACAAATTCTGAAAGGAAATATTATTTTTTTTAAATGAAACTTTGGGACTTTACATTCTAAAGTTTAGAATGTTTGAAGTATGGAATTTTTATTATTTGAAACTCTAAAGTTCATAATTTCGGAATTTGAGGTTATGAAAATGGAAAACTTTGAGACATTAAAATTTGGATACTTTGGATCTTTATTATCTTAAAACTTAAATGTTTTAATTTAAGTATGTCAAAGAATTGAAATTTGAAAGATTTTTTTAAAGAGAATTGTTAAAAGTTTCACAGTTATTTTATCAGTTTTAAAAGTCCTGCATTTCTAAAGTTACAAATTTCAAATTTTAATCTGTCTAAAACTCTAAAACTAAAAAATTTCAGAACTCCAAAGACTCAACGACCTAATTTTAAAAATTGCAAAATACCAAAGTTTAAAAACTTCAAAATCTTAGACTCAAAATTCTGAGATTTGGAAACCCTGAAATCCCAAATTTTCTAAAGTCCCAGAATTTTTTAAACGCTAAAGTATAAAAATTCTGAAATGTGAAAGTTTTAAAATACCAAAGTTTCTAAGGCTCAAACTGCCAAAATTTCTATATTTCTAAGTACTTAAATCCTACACAATTACTATACATTTTAATATTAAATACATATGTACTTTTAAAGCTTGAAATTTTATTTAAAAAATTGTATCGTGCAATGTATTATGTGTTCAAATTAACGAGAAACATGGAAATTACAGTAAAATAATAAGGAGACCAATTTTCGTTTATATAATTGCAAAAGATCATAGTGGCAAATACAAAGGACTACTAATTAAATATAATGTCCACTAATAATTTCTTTTGTAAATATTTAGTATTGCACTTGGAAACTCATTTACTCACAAACTTAAAAGGATTAATGTTCCGCAATCAATATCTAATGCAAAAATCTATAAATGATGGTAAAAAATAATTATTTTTAAATGTATGATAATGGGATGATTTACTTTAATTTATTATTTTATTGTTTATATTGATTATCTAATATACAGTATTAGTATAAAAAAAGAGAAGTCAATGTAGTTACTAATCACAAGTAATAAATATACAGGTTTAATTTTTTTGTTCGCTCTTGTACTCGAACTCTGGCTCCAAGCGCTAAACTATAATTTCCGTTTCTAGTGCATTATCACCCTGGCACTTCTGATCATAGAGGATGTCTACGTGCTAATCAATTATGTCAGCTTCGTTGAGGCTCTGTTCACTACACTCTCCGTGTCTGGTCTCCTCTGGCTTCGCTATAAAAGTCCGGATCGCGAACGACCGATAAGGGTATGTTTATCAGAATTTTTCATTTCCAAGCATTATAGAGTGAAATGTACTATTTGGTTTAAACAAAAGATTTTCCATCCTGTATAAGCCATTTACAAACTAATAAAATTGCATTTATAAATGATATTATTAATTCGATTTTTATATTATTAATTTTGATCGGAAATTCATAATCAGTGACTTTAAAAACTTAACAGTATATAATTTAATGCAAATCATTTTGGATCCAACATTTTGAATTACTAAATTTTTATCTCGAATTTGAAACCAGCGACCACAAAAACTCCGTTGTAATAAATTTCATAAACATTATTCGTTTCTTAAGAACTTCACAAAAATATTCTAGTAAAAAATTTCATAAACGTCCATCGAAAAAAAAATGAGATGACTTTAAAGAGTTAACAAATACTTTGTAAAGTTGTTGAGTTTAATAAACATTTAACTATGATAAAAATCAATAAAAAGGAAAGAAAGTAGATTAACATCAATGAAATATTTATAACACTTTCAGAAGTTGTTTCATATTTATTAAAAAATATTTTAATTCGAATAGATTTACACATAGCACAATTTGTACCTTTATTATTCTACAAACTTAGTAGAGAAATCTTACTGTGCAATGAAATTAAAGAATAGTTTGAATACAAATTATTTGAACACTTCTCTCTAACATAATGTGCAATTGAATTAATTAAAAAAAACCTGCATATTTCAAGGAAAAAATGGACTACGTTGCATTGTTCAAAAACTTTTAATAAGAATAATATTATTATTTCTAAAATTTCAATTACAGGTTTCAATCGCATTCCCGATCATATTTTTCATAATCTGTGCTTTCCTGGTTACGCTTCCTTGCTATGTATCACCCTGGGAAGTTGGAGTAGCAGTAATAATCATTTTATCTGGTATTCCTGTGTACTGGATCTTTATTCATTGGAAACAAAAACCTAAATTGCTTGTAAGGACATCCCGTAAGTAACAATTATTTTATAATCAATTCTTAAAAAGGATAAATCTATATCAATTAATTAAACTCATGTACGTTTTCATTTGTAAGTTTATTGAAAATAAAAGAAACATTTTGATAAAACAAGGACAACTTATAAAATTGTAAATTTCGTTAATATTGGTTTTGTGTATGTTTTGATACATACGTTCATTTTAAAAATTATTTAGATGCAACGTGTTTAAATAACTTTAACATCCCCTATAAATTTAAAAATTACTCTATTGCAAACAACATTAAAAGTATTAACAATAAATTATTCTTTATTTGACAACTATATTTCAATTACTTTCTTATATCATCGTAAAGAAAGAGTAAAGTTTTAAAATCTGAACACATGACTCTGAAACCTGAATTTATACGTGTATTCCGCCTTCTATGGTGAACACGATCCTCCATATGTTGCAAAAACTATTATCAATTTAATTACTACCAAGTTAATCTGACGATGAAGAAGTAACAGTAACTTAAATTAAAACAACCTTGGCAATATACTTCAATAAATTTGCACAATGAATGAAAAACTAATAAAAATTCGATATAATACAAAATATTAAAGTTCAAATTCAAATATTAATTGAATGAAGGAATAATCTCAAAACTGTGTTGTTATTGTTTTTGTTGTAGATAATCTCAACATGATGTGTGCAAAACTGTTTATGTGCGTACAAGAAGAGAAAAGCGATTGATCACTAAGTGTCTTTTTAATATTATGTACCTATAAAGTAGTGCTGTGTAAATTGATCGGTATTTTGCCTTTAAGTTGACAGTTCACTATTTCTACCGATTCCGTGTAGTAATTTATCTAACAACTAGATAAATATTTTATTTTAATCTAAAATAGATTCGAACATATGTATAGTCTCCGCCATGATATGGCAAGGTTATAAAATTCTTCAAAAGACGAAATTAAAATAATTTGCGTGTTAAAACAATAATTACTACTGGGAATGGGTTCGAACCGAATTTTTAAATTGTCGAAATTCAAGTCCGAAGTTTTATGAAGTTCCAAAACTATTAAACTGATGATTTTGTTTTGCAAGAAAAATAATTTACTTTAAAAACAGACGTGAACAAAATTTGTCAAGATCACATTCATCACACAAATGATTCGTTATTTATTGATTTTATACGTTTTCTTATCTAGGTTTCAAGAGTTTCGAATCAAAAAAGTGCAAAGCTTTGAATTCTTAAAACTTTTATATAATACGAAGAATTTTGAGATTTTGATGTTTCGAGGAACCCATCCCTAATAAGTATATACGCTTATGCATACTGTTGATTAACAAGCAGCACGCTAATAAACGCAGTATGTTTATTACTATCCAGGGGTAGTCAGTTCTTCAATTTAACAATTTTAACAATTCTAACTCTCTAAACTTTCAGATTTCTACATTTCCAAATTTGAAATCTTTAAATACTTATATTTCTAAATTTAATAATTTAAAATCCCAGTGTATCCTCCGATACTTATCATTGCGTACATCGTATGAAACCGGTGACTGTAAACACTTCTATAAGTACTTGACCTGCTCATCACTGCTATGTACTTACAATGTATTAAGATAAAATCTTAAAATAGAATGCAGCATTCGATTCTGAAAATTTCGAATTCATCGGATAACTCTTGCCAAAAATTTCTTCTCTGACCTCGTTATATTATGATGGAGAATTTACCCAGTCATCACTTGGTGCCTCTTCTTGAGTATTTCTTTTCATTTATAGATTCAATAAAAATGTTACTTGCAATTTTCTGAATTATTTCCCTTGAAAGTTGGCAAAATATCATCCTAAATTCCGGTCAATTTACAAGGCAATACCATAAATACAGATAGACCAGGTACAACATTCCAAGTTGCTTTGCATAGAATGTATAAACGAATCTATCGTACGTGATATTACTTGAATATGTCAATTAGTAGAATTCATCAGCCGCATGCTGTAACAAATTGTAATATCCCGTTTGAAGTGAATCACAATTAATTTTTTCGTAAGCCGTTTTGTTATTGAAAAGAAATGTTTTATGTAAAATTTATCCTGTTTCAAGATTTCATGGTAATATGTATTTGTTAAATGGAAATATATGTTTTCATTTAGCCATATGTAGCCTACTTCGAAACGAATTTATTAATTAATATAATATGATGATACTGATAATAAGATGTATAATTTAAAATAGAATAAGTTTTATTTCAAATTTATTTTCCCATAACGAATAATGTAGAAGATAATTGCGTAGTACACTTCAAATGGGACACTCTATACAGGGTATTCATGTTACTGACACCATGATTTTTTTGAATATTTTCAATTATCTGACAGAAAAATGTTTCAAATATTTGCAATACATTACTTGTTTTTATAAAAAGTCGATCACTGACATTTTTTTACATAGCGTTATGTATATATTTTTAATTGTGTAGTGGTATACTTGAATTCAGAACACTATTAACGACTCACTGTACTATGACTTGAAATAGCCGCGGCTGTTTAGAATGAAGTTTTTTGTGTTACAATTTATTTGAAACATTTTTCAATCATATTACCGAAAATATACAAAAAATTGTGGTGACAATTATATAAAAAAACCTGTATATGTAATATTTATTCTTCACTAAATCCTTAAACTTCGCTTAACCCTTCCGCTATTATGATGAGCAGATATAGCTGCACACTATAAAACAATCACTATGTATTACGGATTGTAATCAACGCAAATATTTACATTTAAAAATAAAACAAATGTAGTAGACATTTTTCTAACAATCAGAAACAAAAATAACTAAAACGAAAAATATCTTATTATAAACAAAATTTTATAAATGATGAATATACAAATATTTTAGATTAATATACAAATGTACGAAAACAACGTAGACAGTGGTGATTATAGCGAAAGGGTTAAAATTACTTCGAACGTCTTCCCGTTACAAAAGAAAGGAAAAAGAAATAACGGCGCGGTACCTACAATCGATGGAAAGTCGTTTCTTTTTCCACGATTCGGTGACAGTCAGTTTTTTACTGTATGTAAAAGTGTTATTTGAAACGTAAAGTTTTATACAAAATTAAAAACAAGTGATCAAGGGAAATCGAAAGTTAGGCCACGGTAAAGTAACTATGAAAGTCGAAATTCTTCAGTGAATGTACACACTTACTAGTCAATGTATACACGTAATAAAATAATAAGTAAATATATTCGCTAATGATGATGAACATTAACAATTTTAAAATATACTATCTTCGTGAATTTATTAATTGTATACCTAACGTACATATAATCTTCGAAAATCGCATCACTACAGTTTTTCACCTACTCTTAAATTTGAATACAATTTTTTATGCAAAAATGTAAAAAAATGTCTTTACACACAAATTAAAAAAACCTTGCACTAATAAAAAAGTTTTTTTTTAATAATACAAGGTTTTTTTTTAATTAAAAGTAGTTCTTGTTTAAGAACTACGTTCGTATGCTTTAGAATAGAGTTATAATTACAGTTTACAGCTTTAGATAATATATGTAATTAATAGCTGAAAAAAGTGGAAATTTGATTTTTAAACAGAGTTTAATAAGCATATATTCACGCTGTAAAGAAAATATACATTATCTAAAATTAAATAATCACATTTACATATATACTAGCAATGGTACACATTTTTATATTCAATTGATACTTTTACTAAAATCTTACGTGAATACATACATTGACTATGAAGAACTACATTTAGTAAATCTCACACTTTTACGATGAAATATACATATGTACATGTCAGTTTATAAGACATAATATGTAATTATTTTTAAGAGAATTATATTTTATTTTATATCGTTTAATTTTATTTAAAAATTTTAGATATGCATTAGGCTAAATGGTTTGAACTCATAAAAGAAATCATTAATTTTTTAAATTTACAAATATATATGCGATTACAATTATAATACCCTGAATATTTAAATGAGATTCATTTACTTTGATTAATTTTGTACATATTTATGGCTTAATATTAAACAAAATGTAAGAAGTAATTATGTTCGAGCCATTACTTAACAACTTGCTTCAATTGGTATTTCAATTAATCTTATTGATATCTATGTTCTTTAATTATGTACATGCATTCAAATTTTATCTAACTCTAAACATACTTTCGAAATTATTTATTTTATTTTGTAGATAACTTGGAAATGTCAAACCGTAAGACTGCAAAAAGTATTTATATCGCAAGAGCGTACAAAAATTTGCATTGATAAAATTTATCTGATAGTATACTAGACAACTATTAACGCACAAGTTGTTCAAGTTTTAAATCATGACCACATATTCTTTCAAATACTGGCAGAACTTTTTACGAAATTGTGCTCTTTTATAAGTATATGTATTTGTAAGTATTGCACCTAATTGAAATAACTATAAATAATAGTCATCAAATACAAACGCATAATATTGTAATATAAATATTATAATCATAGATATTTAAACTATTTTTAATTGTATATACAATACGAGAGAAATTATAAATTATTTATCGTAATTCATTATATTGTTAAAGTGTTTCTTTTAATAGGTGTTTCTTTTAATAGGTAATCGCTATTAACGTTTTTCATAAACCACTAAAAGTAATTTCTCTGTTACATTGTCTTTTAGTAATCATGTTTATTAATATAATACATAAGACGTCTAAAAAAAGAAGTGGTCTGACGATACTACAATATGTAATATGTATATTTTATTAATATTGTTTTTATATTGGCACAAAATTTTTTTGTGTATAAGTATTGCTTTTAATAATATATAACATATGTGGTTAAATTATGCATTTAAAACAAAAATGTTGAATCGTAATTTTAGTTCCATCGCGTTAAGAAATGCTGAATTTTTATAAAAGAGAAAATATTATAAAACTATCGTCTTTTGTGTGTCTTATCACATCAATTATATGTAGATTTACCGTTACTTGTACACCACGGTAATTTTTTACTTTATTTGAATTATAAGTTTTGAAGGAGTATTTTCCATAAAATTATTAACGCCTATTATAACATTTGCAAACGTGTTCAAGAAAATAATAACAGATAATGTGCCTCATATGTTATGCGAGTAATAAAATTTTGTAAAACAGTAGAAGAATTGTAACTCGCATTCAAAATGAGCACTCATGGTTTTCAAATAAATGAATGTTCGTTATAAAAATGGATAATGTCAAACAACTCAATATTAATAGTGCCATATTTTGAATATGAAAATGTTTAGATGTAATTAATATTAAATATATGATTTGGAAACAACACATTTTAAACATTATGTTTTAGAATAGCAGTGATACAACATGATTTCTTTTTTAACAGTTAGAGAAAATTTAGTAATTTTATACTGAGGTAGAGTCAGTTTGATATGGTATGTTTATGGTGTAAGCATGAATACGTAACATTGTTGCTGCTACATGGAGGATGCGAACTATTAATAAACAGTGAGTTTTATTACCCTTTTTTAATGTCCTAAGTACAAAATATGTAGAATTTTCAAGATATTGATCTTCGAAGTTATCACTTGATGAGTTTCGTTTATAAAATAAATATAAACTATATATGTAAAACACGTTACATTGAAAGAAAATAGTATATTAATCAGTGAATATATAAGAGAAGAAAACATAAACAACAAATATTGCAGTAACACGAACAATAAATACTGTACCATTACAACAAATTTTTTTTTAATTCGGTTGTTCCAAAAATAGGTAAAAATCCGTTAAATAAAATAAGAAACTAAGTACAAGATTTTTATTGCATATATTTGAATGCTTTCATACATTTACTTTGACTTTTACATATGTATAAAATATTGGATAAATGTTGCAATAAATATGTATATATTTTTAATAATTTACAATAAGTACAGTATATCATGTATGTATGTATATGTTACGGTGAAAGACCGAAAATGGAGAATGTTGACATTCACCGGTCGACATATATCAAATACGTCTGTAAAAGACCGAATATTTTATTACATTCTTGTACATTCGGACCTTAACCGGTGTATGTCGACAATCACAGATATGCTCTGGTGGAGGTCCAAAAG